TTATGCGAAAGATATTTTGTGACAATTTACCCAACTTGCGCAGAATTTATGTATTCGTAATAGTTACAACAAAGATGCGAGGTGTCAGTCAGTGTGGGTGTGGGCGGGAATAACGGGCAGGTATTCTGTAGAACACGATATACACATGCATATCAGTGGTATAAATGAAATCGTACATTGATTTGTGTTGACAGGGTTTATATATTCCACTTTTTGTTGTTTTGTTGTCTGGCGTACCCTTCGTTCAGGCCACAGATAGCATCCACGGCAAATGGCTAAACACATTGGCAAAATGGAAACTTGACTGGAGCCCTTGCACGTTCTAATTTATAAGGGACAAAAGTGGAGCTTCAATAAAGGTTCCAAGATAACGATAACGACTAGTAAACTGATTGAAAAATGATCGTATGTATCTCTTTGATATAACATCGCCAGTTGCACTGAAGACGACATAGCTAAAAGCAGATATGCACGATGATTGAATTGTGATGATGTAACAGCGCGTATATGATATGACAGCACTTAATACAATAAATCACCGGCAAGATGATGTGATGCTTACTAGTAGTAAAAAAAGTCGTGTTCTGTAACACAGATATTTACTACCCAGTCAATATCACCAACTCATTCAATTATCTCTAGTTCCACTAAAAAATCGAAGCACTTTTAACTTAAAGTGGACACAGAGTGTGTAGAAGAAGGAGTATGCTACCAGAGTTAAATTACGGAGCTTAATAGATTTGATTTTTAAATTTTAGTGTTCGTTGTTTGATTTTCATGAATGTTGTAAATTTCCGTAATCGACCCAGCAATGGCATTGCAGCATATTTCGCGACATCGCAAAGGCGGCTAATTTCGAAAAACTCGACAAGGATCGAACGGATCGACAAAATGACTGTGGTGAATGGGCAACACAATTAGATTGAGTGAATGTTGTAAAGTGATGTTCATAACTGCGCTGATTTGAGAGAAAACAGCGAATTACGCTCGAATTCATTGATATTGTAAATGCAAGAAAACAAACGTGTCACCGAAACATCGAATGTATGATGATGTTTTCATACGCGTGCCAAAACGCAATTACAGAATAAATTGGTGATTTGAAAGAAACAAATAGATTTGTTCATATTCTGCAGTAACCTATTCTGGTGTTTTTTTGAGAATGGGGAGCTTAATAAATTAATTTGCATTATCTACCAATAACTTAATAAATCGACTGTAATTATAACGTATTACACTTGGACTTGCATTTACGATGTAAATTCTGTACCACTGATAAAATTTATCTCAATTTTTTGGCTGAAAACTTTGGACCCTGTGCTGATCAACGCCGCCATTCTGTTCACACCAGCTCCTTTCAGTTAATAACACGTGGTCTATTCTATTCATGCCACCAGACACGTACAACAAGCACGACATTGAAGTAAATTAATTTAACCTATCACTAATCAATTGAAAATGTGAGATTTAACGAGATCATTTCACGATTTAAAAAAAACTCGAGAATAAAACACCCACAATTTGATCCAATTAATTAGGAATCGAAAACAATTCAGTCGCTGCCACTCCAGTGAGCGAACTGCGCAGTGTTGACATAACAGTGGATTGCGTCAATTTCCCTTCAATTGGGGTCGAGCAGATTCGTGGAAAGCACTTCCATAAAGCGGAATGCGCATGGATTTGCAGTCAAATAAGCGTAGGTGGTTTTAAAGTAGTGCAGATGTATCATCAACAGACGGCATGAGACGAACAGAGCGTAGTAATATAAAAACAGCCGTAAATGATTGGACCGGTGGCCGGTATAAATGATAACAAAGTATTCTGTTAGGCTGCCTGTTTTAATAAGTTAACTTAATCAATTTAGTGGTTAAAATACTTTGTAGTAATTCCATTAAAAGTCAATATAATTGTGATAAAACATACCACCTTATATTGGATTATCGTCGCCATGGCAGCCACATTTCGGTTCTTTTCTTCCCCGCTGATCCTAACTTGGGTTATGTGATTATTATACGGGCTGGCAGCCTGGCATCTGTTACGAGGTGTGTGACAAGCAAAGTGTGAACTCAAACAGAGTGTTTAAACGAACACATGGCGTCCCGTTCGAAAAAATTATCCCCAATAAAGCGATATAATTATTGTCGAAATGATCGTACATTGGAAAACACTCATCGTTAAAACAGCGTTCACTTCTACTACTCCGGGAAAACGATTCATCAGTTGCACGGATAATTCAGAAACTAACCTCTTTTAAAAAGAAAACAAAAACGTTCTATTGTAATTCGTTGGATGGGATTAGTTCCTATAAGTATATATATATATATATTATTTACATTCTTATAGGTTTAAAAAAATGCATGGACAAAATGAACCAATACTGCCCCGATACAACAGCCAGAGGGGTCACGACCCGTAACATCACACCGAGATAACACAGAACACACAATTGAATGCAATGATGATTTTATTGATTAATATTGTATTAATTTTAATAAAAATGTACCTGTTTTTTTGACACTACAGAGTAGTTAAACAACGCCTAACTACAAATCGTACCCTCATGACTTGTCAATTAGGTATTCTCATATTAGACTACGAACAATCAATGTAATAATAAATAAAATATGACATTAACATGAACTGACAGAAAAGTTATAATCATGTTAGTATAGATTGGTGCAGTTAAAGCAGCTAACTACACAATATTAAAACACACCATGGGGGCCAACTTGAAGACAACCAAGTTATAATGAACACCTCTTTCTTGCCACTAGAGGGCTTTCTACACACTGACTTGAAAGCTGATGATACATCACTAATACTAAATTATAATTTTTCTACAAAATTTTCACTCATTAGAAAAACATGGAAATGACAAAAATGTTGACAAATAATAGCTATGTGAACAAACTGAAAACAAAACATTTTACAATAATTTAAAGACAAGAGGCTGGGCTGGAGAGCATACACTTCACAAAACTAATTTATGTTTGCGGCACAGGCACACCACAGAAACACAGAAATAGCGTGAATCAATGTGGATTTTTCGTTACTGAGAAATTTGCAAGTACACTATGATCTGAGTTGAGGCCACACATAATGAGTATTACGTTTCTATCCTCACACATTATCATTTTGTACATGCTTTAGTATGCACAATTAACATTCTTTGTGGATATTTATAAAAAACAAAACAAACTCAATTAATTATCATTGTGTAGCGAAAAGACAATCAATTCTATGAATGAAACAAGTCATTAGTTAACTATTTCACCAAGAATATTCAGAAAACATTGGAAAAAGTAAAATTAATACATATAAGAGAGGGATAACTAAAAATCCCATCAAAGTTGTTTTTCTATTAGTCGTACATTTAGATAAAATATTAGATCAGATAAAATATTAGAAAGCCCAATTAAAGTCTCTCATCCATCCTTTGACTGGAGCACAAATACTACATTCACATGTCTTCAATTTAATAACAGGGGAACTTAACACAAATTTGGTTATCACCACAGAAAGCTGAATAGTAAACAAGAAACAAACAAACAAACATGCATACACTCCCTAAATAAGTTAAGTAGAGCAACACAAATACGAGATTAAAACTCCCATCTACTTGAGATAAAATTATAAATTATTATATTCTGAAAATAGATAATACACTGTAAAATAAATGTCTAACATATTAATATATAAATACTACTAATATATTGCAAACTTAAGTGATAAAATGAAGAGTTTGTAGAATATTTGCACTATTTAATTATACCTGTACCTGACCATATATGGGCATAAACTGTCATGATGTAAGTGATGTAATTCAAGATATATGTAAATGACATCACCAGGCATGAATTCTATCAGAAATTGGCAATGCCAACTTCAGACAAAAGCAATTTAATTTTAAAATGACTGACCCATTTTTTAAAAAATCCGATATTAAACAAAAAAGTATTTTTATTTGGACTAGCTCTTGTCAATAAGAAATCATTTTTTGTTATGTGCAAGTTCCAGTAAGCATGACTGAATTCTGAGGGATGGCAGTGAAAGTATGGTTATATACCACATTATATAACCAACTATTTGAAGCTGTACTCTACGTTTAGTTAAAACCAGTAAGATTTGACCTTTTACCTCATTGCCTGTATCCACAAAATTAAAAAAACTGACAATTCAATACATTATTATTTATATAGATAAAAACAGTATGAGGAAATTTAAAACAAAATTAGTTAAAATTCATATAAATGGAAAGGAAATTTAAAACTATTCAATTAAAAATTATTAATTACAATTAAATATGAAAGAAACTAATAAATACTGATAATAAAAAATAAATGGAAGCCATACACATAAAGAGGTCAGAGGTCAGGGGAGAAGATCTCAAACCAAAAATAATGTAAACTTATCATAAGATATTATTTGGCAAGGGACAAATGATAAAACAAAACATGTGTTTATTAGTATTAGACATGTTCGATTAGATCAATTTCACTCCTTAATATATACCTCAATAGGAATATGTGGTAAAGCAGTAAGACTTCTACAAAGACCTGATGAATCATAGTGTATGGCTTACAGTGAGTGCTGTACAATTTAGTACATTGTATCTCTTCATAAGATATATTTGCTGAGCTGTTCTCATGAACCACATTTCAGGTCATTGTTTTATCCTATTCGACATGGGAACCATTGTGGTATATACAATGCATGTTAAAATACATTTTTGTTTACACCAGCACACTTTAATATTCAGCAAATAGGAAAACAAAAGGTTGTCACAGCATTCACTTTTCATATGCAATTGTAGAAAGATGAACATTGACTTTATTTGAATTACATGATGCATTTGAAATAGTTTTAATAGCTTGATGACTGCTCCTCGACCTCATGTTGACCTTTGGCTGCTCATTGACCTCATATCTTGAACTCTGACCCTCTTCTTCTACAGACGATTAAGTGCCACTAGACTGAAGTTTCTCGATATATAATAGGGGCTGGAATATTATTAATATTTTTGTGTTTATAGGGAACATAATACGAGACTCCTGCAAAGAAACATAAATAGATAACATTTACTGAATTGATTAACACCACATGATAATGCTTGGTATATACAATAGTCATTGTTTAGGGTTATACAAGTGTTGGTATATACAATAGTCATTGTTTAGGGTTATACAAGTCTTGGTATATACAATAGTCATTGTTTAGGGTTATACTAGTCTTGGTATATACAATAGTCATTGTTTAGGGTTATACAAGTCTTGGTATATACAATAGTCATTGTTTAGGG